CAAAGGATCGGACATGTGATGCGCATGGGGAATGAAAGAATAACAAAAGCAATGGTATTAGGATGGTGGGAGGAATTGGAAGGACGAGGAAAGATGATGGGACGTAAAAGGAAGACGGTATTATACTGGAAGAGAGTAATGGGGAACGCAGGGATGGATTGGGCGGAGGTAGAGAGACTAACAAGTGACATAGAAGGATGGAAGAGGAGAGTGAGCGTATGGATCACCTGTATAAATGGGAAAATCAGAAGGGTCACAGATATGAGGCGGGAATGAATGAAGAAAAACTGGAGAGGAATGTTAGGAGAGTGAATGGTGGGTTGGAATGTAGGTATGAGGGGTGCGGAAAAGTGTGCAGGAGTAGAGCAGGTCTAACCATGCACGGAAAGCGGATGCACCGCAGGAATGACGAACAGGTGAAGTTTGAGTGTGGGAAATGTGGGAGGATGTTTGGGTCAAAAGGGAATATGATAAGTCACCAAAGGAGCTGCACGGGAGGAGCGTATGAGGAGAAGGGAGAGAGGAGGCAGTGTGGAGGGTGTGAAAGATGGGTCACAAAAGCAAATTATGCCAGACACGTAAGAGGGTGTGAACGAGTGGAAAGAGAGAATGAGGAAGAGAGGGGAGGAGGGAGAAGGGACGAACCGGGCGTGATGCGTGGAAGGGGAGCCGGGGGAGGACGAAGAGCAATCAGGGAGGGGGGTCGTGGGGGGAGAAGGGTGGCTTGCGGGAGATGTGGGAAGGAATTGTTGGCGGGGAACCTCGCAAGGCACCAGCGAGATTCGTGCCGGGTGTGGGACCCGGGAGGGGGGGCAAGTCCCTGACGGGGGCCGACTGCCCAGGATCGGATCGGTCAAACATGACTCTTTGGAATACATTTCAAGATGTGATTGAGAAACGTGTCAAACCACAACAGCTGAACATTCAACATCTCACGCGTTGAAAGTATTTCTTCATGTCCGATTGGTGCTCAGCTTTAAGTTAGACAGTTTTGCTATGTCTGTCGTGGGGGCACTTATCTAGATTGGAGGTGGACTTGTGCCAGAGAGAAATTACTGCCAAGATGTACAAGGTCTTAATGGAGCTGGAAGTGCCTGGGGAACTCATAGTCCTGATTCTCTGACATTTAGAAGAGGAATCACACAGTTAGAAGGGACATTACGTTAAAGCTCGTTAAGTAGATTGTGTGTCTACTCTTTGATTAGAACACTGCCTCCTACTAATGGTAAAATCGATTGCCTCCTGCAGCTGATTGACGGTCGCGAGTCGACTCTCGTCAACGTGCCTTTCCTGAGATCCAAAATTGGCATCGTGTCGCAGGAGCCAATCTTGTTTGACTGCAGCATCTTGGAAAACATTAAGTACGGTGACAACTCACGGAACATCAGCATGGACGAGGTCATATCAGCTGCCAAAAAATCGCAGCTCCATGACTTTGTCATGTCTCTACCTGAGGTAGGTTCATGTTTGCAGAAGGGGAGCTGTAGACTTGTAAGGCGGATTGGAGCAGAGTGTATCGAGGTGAAAAACAGGGATTCGTTTTGTTTGAATGTTAATGATTTCTAACATTTTCTTCTCGTGAGAAATTAGGTAAATAGTTGAGATAATTCACATCATGGAGTCTTAGATGCTTTGTGACGCAGATGTAAACAATTATGATTCAATAATCAATATAATATCAATGCTGGGCGGCCCGGTGGTCCAGTGGTTAGCGCGTAGACCTCACAGTATGGAGGTACTGGGTTCAATTCCAGCTCTGTAGAGTTTGCATGTTCTTCCCGGGCCTGCGTGGGTTTTCTCTGGGTCCTCCGGTTTCCTCCCACATTCCAAAAACATGCATGGCAGGCTGATTGAACACTCTAAATTGTCCCTAGGTGTGAGTGTGAGCGTGGATGGTTGTTCGTCTGTGTGTGCTCTGCGATTGGCTGGCAACCGGATCAGGGTGTCCCTCGCCTGCTGCCCGAAGACAGCTGGGCAAGGCTCCAACACCCCCCGTGATCCTTGTGAGGATAAGCGGATCGGAAAATGGATGGATATCAATGCTGACGAAGAGAAAATAGTTTTCTGTGTTAGGTCGGTGCCTTTTCAACCACATCCACAATATATATACATTTTTTTACACACTGCAACCATTTAATGTCACTGTATTGATGGTATTTTGTGTGTATACGTCGATGCACTCTTATGTCCGCACAAACTCTCAAGCCGCAACCTGTCCGAGAGGAAAGCCGCCACATGTCAGAATCTGTTGGTGATGTTTTTGTGTCAGAGAGGGAGCACAAAATCTGGGTCTCTCAACTCCCTGGGTCCCGTCACAAATTGCAATACATAAACGACATGCTGGTGTCTTGAACGCTTTCAGGGCAATGTGGACAAAATAGGATGGACGTGAGATAACGTGGGGATAGGCAACTATGACAGGCTGTGATTTCCGTGGATGCCTGGCCACATTTTTAAATAAAATCAAAAACAGCGTGAACGCACTGCAATGTGAAAATATGGAACAAAATAGAAGGCAATCTGTAGCGTGACTGGCATCTTCCTGACCGACTCTTTGGCTATAAAGCCAGGGGAGTGTTCTTCGAGTCTGCCATGGCCACAAACGTGTTTCAGAGCTGCCCAGCATCAGCGTTTCTTCTGTAGAAAGCCTTGGCAGAGCAGGAAAAATGTGTCAGACGTTGATCAGAATGCAAAAAACTGAAGAGGTGATACATGTCAAAGCCTTGACTAAGTAGTGCTCTTGTTTATTGGAACAGCTTGAAGCAAATAATGAATACCGTGCTTTGCATGTTGATCTCACTGTATGATTTTCCTGCTCAGAAATATGACACAAACGTGGGTGCCCAGGGTTCTCAATTATCTCGTGGTCAGAAGCAGCGCATTGCCATTGCCAGGGCAATCATACGCGATCCCAAGATCCTGCTCCTGGATGAGGCCACCTCAGCTCTGGACACAGAGAGTGAGAAGGCAAGTTGCAAAATGAAAACAAAATAAATCTGCATTCTGCATAGCTGCTTGATATTCTCGAGTTGCAGGCAGTAAGAAGAGCTGTTCATTATTGCCATCATTAACGTCATTATTCTTCCTCACGGCTGATCGCGACCTTGTATACATTTATGCATGTCGTGTATCTGCCAGTGTAGGCACTGAAGCCGTGGGCTCTCAGTAATCAAGTTGCGATTGTGAAATTGCCACTCTTATGCCGCTCGCATGCCGACCATTTCCCTCCCCTGTGTGACTTTGTGTACTCGTCTCGCCCGCCACAGACGGTGCAAGAGGCTCTGGACAAAGCTCGAGAGGGCAGGACCTGCATCGTAATCGCCCACCGCCTGTCCACCATTCAGAACTCCGACATCATCGCTGTCATGTCCCGAGGCTACGTGATTGAGAAGGGAACACATGACCATCTCATGGCCCTGAAGGGCGCTTATTACAAGCTGGTCACCACTGGAGCACCAATCAGCTAATGGCTGCAAGAGGGTAAACAACTGGAAACATGCGAGAGGAGCAGAGTTATTGTCTGGGGTGACGAGGCCAACCAAGTCTGACTAAACAGCAAAATGTAACTTGAATCTTTTCACTTTTACCATATTTATTTGTTTGGAAATACCCTGTTCCGCTGAGAGGGTTTGATGAGCTCTTTTGACACTACTGCTAGCTTACGTTTGTTTTGTTTTGTGTTCCCACAATGTGACAAGGGGGTTAATCACAAGGGATACATCCAAGCACACGGCACTACAAAGGTGGATAGTAGAAGGGCTTAATGCCAATGAAAGACAGTAAAACATCTTTTTTTTAAGCAATTATCCCATTCGGGAGGTTGGGGTCTATTTCTAATTCCAGGTGAGAGGTAGGAACACCTAGGACTGATCATATGTGGCGATTGTGCATGGGAAATCAAAGTTAGCACTGTGAACCACTCCACTACTAATGACCCAAACACAACGTAATTCATTCACCAAAGCAATTGTTTGGGCTAATATAATCATCCCTTTGGTGAGTTACTAGATTCAGAAACAGACATTTCAACAACATGTTTTCACAACACGTCAGTAGCTCAAAATCAAAGACCTCAAATGGCGTGTGTCACAACATAGGGTAATAGCGCCGAAAAGCCATGAAAAGGCAAGTGCAACAAAGTACATTGTCGGAAACGTGAAGTTGAAATGTTTACCATAATAGGATTGCTAAAAATGAATACTGTATATCAAACCGAGGAAATTTCAGGGATAAGACATGTTGGATCAAATATATGCCTTTACAGAGCTTTATCATCAGAGATGTATTCATTTTACATGTGTAAAATTGTGCCGTATCACACTGAAAGCTGTTTGTTTTTGCTGCATATGAATAGGAAATCAAATATTCATGTCAAATTAACATATTGTTAAATGAATACCTCCCTCAAAACACAACTTGTAAGTGAGAATTATTGTTGTAGTATTTTGGAATTTTTTATCATGCATGTGTTCACTGTCAGTAAAGTGCACGTGTACCTAATGTTAGCCAATGGCTGCATTAAAAACAAACATGGGTCTAAATTATTCATTTATTTGAGAAAAATCTGAATCAATGTTTTAGATGTTCAGATACCTGCTAGTCAAAATTAAGTGTTAAATGTGATACAGCGAGCTGTGGCAGATCAAAGGTAACACTGAGAGCTCTCACATTTAAGAAGGCTCCGATATTCTCTTTGACATATTTCAACGAAAGCACAAATAAGCAGGTGGATCGTGTAGCAGGGCTCAGATATTTAACCCGGTCGGTAAAACGTGACCTTCCGATTCTCGACTGCATACTTAGCGGTTTGATGCTGTCTGGAGTGCAGATGTCAGAGACACGCTATCACTTAGTGGTAAGATGTGATCACGCCACACTGACCTCTGGGAAATTGAGTCTTTAATCGGACCTGGACTCTGGGGTGGATTAGCATGCCTCAGATGCAATCTCATCTTGCCACTTCTCTTCCAAATTGATTCAGCGATAGGACACTCTTTGACTTTGTGCCGTGTGACGCCAGAGGCTGGGTGACACATCTCTGATGGCTGCGAGAGTGAGAGGTGCCTCGGCATATTTTAGAGAGATAAAGAGAAACAGAATTTTCAATTGAGTCAGAAACTGTGTGCGAATACTGAGCTACACTATTGCTCTACGAGTGCAAATGTCAAATTCTGAAAGAAGTGCGGACTCCAGGCTCTCTCGGGGCTAAGTGGGGGCTTGAACGATATGTGTGTAATGCGAAAAAAAAAAAAAAGAAGAACATCCATGACTTCACTGACTTGAGAGGTTCTATCTTTTTTACTCTAAAAGTATTATACACACCTCAAACATACTGTACCGACAGAAGTAAACGTTTTTGACAAACGTATTTGCAATGTATTTATTGGTAAAATGTAGGCTAAATGCTAAAAACAGAGCATTTTTCCCATAATGCCATGGGGTATTGAATTATGCATTCGCAAGTAAAAAAAAAAACAAAACAAAACAGTTTTTAGCAATTGGCCTACATCATAACAACACATTGTTATGGTTTTATTATTCTTGCAGTTTACGATTTCTGTTTGGCATTTTTTACTCCAAAATGCCACGGGGTATTGATTTGCGCATATGTTCTTACAATTTAGCATTTATTTTGTCAATACCTTTGAACATACTTTGCAAAGGGTACGAACTGTTACCTTAACGTGCAAGAACCTGACGAAGATTCACCCGGTCTCTCGCTGTCCTCACAAAAACACACCGGGTGCAGCCGCAGCACAAACACAAGAACAGGAATTGTATTGGAACAGAATGGCTATTAGTGAATGTTTTAATGTCTTTTAACATAAGTAAATTGTTGGGGGGCTGAACGAGGGCAAGACAGATTTCTGAAGGGGCTACAGCACTTCCTAGCCCCGATGTAGTGCTGCGTGTGGAGCACTCCGACCTGCTTTAACACACCGAGCATATCAAAGTAGTCACCACAGACCACTTGATTGTGACGACGTCAGACCAATCTAGCTGGACCGTGAGCATCATTTCATTTGTACCCATGATGTCAACTTTGAGCTTCTTGCAGAATAGTAGTCAGTTAATGGCACCACAAGAACTTTCCACCTCTCCATCATGAGACACGTTTGTTTCTTAACCCTAGTTTGAATCCATTTGACACATCCTGTTATTTAGCAGAAATGTATTTGTTCCACAGATTCATAAAACAAGATCCTCTTTTTTGGTCACGTATACATGAAATTTGATGTCTACATATGACCCTTCACAGCAAATGCACACCGAAGCAATTTAGGGTACCGGTGCCTTGCTCAAGACATGCCGCTTGTCTGAAGAGAATGGTCTTGAACTGAGTTCCCCCTGGTGGCAATAACACTGTTATCCACTTAGCCACAGAAAACAAGCATCAAAGTATCCTTAAATATGTTGGTGGGTGGGGTTGAGCACGTGGATTCAAGTCTTGACTTGAGACTTGCATCCAACTTGCCACTAGGTTAATTGCTTGTACTGTCTAACACAGGATGGCAACCGGTTCAGGGTGTACCCCGCCTACTGCCTCAAGAAAACTGGGATAGCCTCCAATATGCCCGCGACCCTCGTGAGGATAAGCGGATTAGAAAATGGGTGAATGGATAGTAGGAATACATTTTATTTGTGATGGACTTTACATCCGCAACAGAGCTTAACATGCTACAGCCATGAACAAAAACTCAAACAAGTAAAATGCAAGTTCGCACGAACACATAAAACAACATTATAAGTTAAAAGCTCTCTTCAAAAGAAAGGTTTTAAATTTGTTTTCAAACTTTCAATGCTCTGTGGAGCCCTGAGGTAGTCCAGGAGAGCGTTGCACACATGTGGCACAGCAGAGCAGAAGGCCCGATCCCCCACTGTGCTGGTCTTAGCACTCGGTTGAAGGAGATGGTCGGTGTTGAAGGAGTAGAGAGATGGTGCTGAAGTGTTTGGCGTAAGGAGCTCTGATAGGCGTGGGTGGGGTGGGGTGGAGATTCATTGCCGTGGATACATTTGTGGGTGAGTAGAGAGACCTTATATTCAATATTGGCAGTGATAGAGAGCCAATGAAGTGAATGTAGGATGGGGATGGCGCGCTCATGTTTCCACACTCTCATCAGGATCCTGGCAGCACTGTTCGGGAGGAAATGCAGCTTCTGGATGGTTTTGCTGGGGATCCCAATGAGCGGTGTGTTGCAGTCGTTCAGTCTGGAGGAGACAAGAGTTGTGGACAAGTTTCTCTGCATCAGGAAGTGTGAGAGAAGTTCAGAACCTGGAAATGGCAGTTTTGAAGAGGTGCTTGATGTGGGCCTTGAAGGTAAGATCAGAGTCAAACCCCACGCCCAAGTCAGTGACAAGCGGAAAAAGAGTAACATCCTGGCCAGAGTCAGTGATAGTGGTGAAAGTGAATCATTAGATTTGGTGTGGGGTGCCGACTAAGACTGCTTCTGTTTTTGAGCTGTAGAAATTTACTATATCATTCATCCACACCTCTATCTCCTCCACACAGGCGGTGAGTGCAGAGAGGGAAGACAAAGGTGATGATGAGGATGGTGAGAGGTGTACGTGTCTGTTTTAATGTTGAGTTGTTTGTTATCAGCGTAGCAATGGCAGGAGATGCCAAATTGACTGATGACTTGGCCAAGGAGGAGCAGGTACGTGATGAACAAAGTGGGTCCCAGCACAGACCCCTGGGGGACCCCACAGATCACTGTGTGGATGTAACTCTCTCTCCTCACAGAGATGTTCAGCAAATATTCTCTAAGGCAGGAGTCACCAAGATGGAGCCCACGGGCACAAGGTAGCCCCCAAGGACCACATGAGTCCCCCACAGGGGGAAAATTAGATAATCAATAATGGCACATTGTTGTTTTCTGTGAATGTTTTAGAAGTTATCATTTGAAAATGTAAACACTGGCAGAGATTTATAGCAATAAAGTGTTGTATATTGATATCGATCTATTTCGGAAATGCGAGAAGTTCATAATATTAATCAGTGTCTTCACATACATAAAAATGATCTATTAGTGATAATAATTAAAATAATAAGAAAAGATAATTACATGTTTGTTATTTCAGAAGTGTGTACCAAACTGGTAGACCTTTGTCTTAATTCGTAACCAAGAAGTACTTTTCAGTTACAAAAAGGTCGGTGATGCCTGCTCTCAGCTCTTATTACTCCTAAAGAAGATGGAGGAGAGGCTTTTCGTTGCCTGGGGGATGGCGCATCACCCTGTTGTCTGTTCAGCACTCATGTCACTTTAGTGATGTAATGCAGCCTGAGAGAGCTTTGGATTACTTCCCTCAAGATCTCTGCTTCCCACATTGTTAATGGTCACACTAGTGACCAAACAAACCACACAATTGAAGATGAACAAGTAAAAATCCTAGGAACAGAAAAGAGATGGTTTGAAAGGGGAGTAAAGGAAGCCATTTTTGTTAAAAAATTTTCACCCTCTCTGAACCGTGAAGGAGGTATCAGATTTAACCTGTCTCCTATTTACAATAACTTATTGACCACCAAGGGACATAGACATGCTGATCAGGCTAACTGAAAGTAGCTATTCAGCCCTAGCCCAAACAATAGGCCGAATCAAGACCCAACGATAGGGAATTTAGAAATCAATGGGCCTCTTCACCATAGGGGCGTGACTAACCATCCCCACCCAGTCCTCAAATAGGCCACGCTCAGCTTTTTAGCGCAGAGCAATTTCCCGGAGTCTTCACGGAGACTTCAGAGTTGTCTACCGCTGACGAAGCTTCTGTGAGAGAAGCGAAACGTCCTTTTTTGTTTTTTGTTTTTTACCCAAAGGTACTGATGACGACTGACAGAACCCTTTCTACAATGGTCACACTAGTGCAAAAAGTAAGTTAACGCTGTTTAAAAAAAAAAAGCTGTCTCAACTTTTAACTTTGATGATGGGTGACAGGTGTGGGTGGAGGAGAGAAAAGTTAGGATTACAGATGGGAATTTAAGTCACCTGTTTGTCTTACTTTCCCTTACCACAGGAAGTTTTAATCGAATTCTATGGTCCTCACATAGTGGACGTTTTGTGACATATCCAGAGGCCTTCCATGACATCCATGACAGAGGTTCCACCTCTGGAATTTTATTTTAAGTTTATGGGTAAAATTCCAAATTGTACAAATTCAGGGAAAGTCGACTTGGCGGTTCTACTGTCCATATGATCTGATGAGACCTGCATACTTTCATAAGTATTTCAATCACGGCAGGATTCTTGCGGCCGTGACAAAGGAAACCCGGGCGTGCATTGAAAAGCAGGTGTGATGTCATTCATCTTTAGAGGTGACACTCGCCGTAACGGTAAAATGACAGCGGCCAATTTAAAATGAATCCATAATTAAAGATGCATCATTAACCAGAGGGGAAGTGAGAGGATTCTCCTTTATAACATGAGCCTCATTCGGTCATTACGTATGATCCCATTAAATCTTTTCATTAGCGTCGTCATTATTAGAGCATCAATAACATCACAACTGTGGCCACAGGGAGCGCAAGGGCCACATTTAGACAATGTTAGAATAATTAGTTTTTATTAATTCACATGCGAGCAAATAAAAAGGCAATTTCGTTTTATCTTCAACCATTAGCTTATGCTTGCAATGTGCTGGAGTGTGACCACTCGTCATGAATTCTGAGAAACCGATGGGAAGCTATTAAAGGTGCGGCGCTCTGTTATCTTGAGGAACAGGCTTGAAGCACAGTGTGTGAAAAGCCTTGAATGGTCACAAAGCTTATTATGATGATACAAAACTGGCAAGCAGATCATGTTCCCTCCTCAAAGAGGGTCAGGGTGACCTTTAATATGTAGTCAACATAGAAGGAACATGCACAGTCCTACACAAAGCCCACAGGGCTGAAACACAGCGGTAACAGTCACGCTCAATTATTATAAAATGGAAGAATAAAGACAAAGACAGCTGCTGCACGTTAAATAAGTGAATAAAGGGCGCTGTTCAAAGCAGTCATTCCAAATGAGATGCTCCTCATCGTGATCTGTGTTTTTGTTTAGATTGCAATTCATTTTGTTTCATGTAATGTCTTGGCTTCTTGTGGTGCATGTCTTTCTCGTTGGGTTTTTTTGTTTTCCACGAGTCGTCAACCTGGTCCCTTGTGTCAACCAATCAGCTTCCACAGCCACCCGTGTCTTGTCCAGGTGTTCCTCGTTGTCTCATTAGTTTGCTTGTATTTCGTCCCCATCCACACGAAAACATGTTTTAGTGACTACGTTTACATGCAGTCAATATTCGAGTTAAGGTCAACATTCCGGTTTGAAGCATTCAGAATAACTGGTTTATGTGTGTGAGTGGACAGAGTTACTCCCATCTATGTGGCAATGGTGAATATTCCGATAAAAATCGTGAAGTATGGCTCACGTCATGAGGCAAAAGTGACATCATTTCCGCTTGTCACTATCTACCATCAATAAAACACATTACATTCATGTCACACACCACATGAAGAAAGTAGTCAGTTTCCTCCTCGCTCCAAAAGTGTGCTGCTGTGCTGCATCTGAGTTTCGCTCCACTTGTTTACCTCTGCATGTGTATTTCCGGGGAGTTGCATGGCAACAACGCACGCACGCACACACACACACACACACACACACACGCACACGCACACATACACAGTATGTCATTTTCGCCATAAGGACAGAAAATAACATGAAAACGCCACAGAGAAATGTCTTGAATGCCACAGAAGTTCCAGAGGTGTGCACAGAGGAGAATCTCTCTGTCCAATGGGGACACACTTAAGATCACATGCCAGCCTCGGGAGCTTCTGCCAGTCATTCGTCTGGCGATCATCCTCAGGTCAACAGCCCTGCAGAACGTCAAGACCCGGAGGCTGCGTTTGTCATTGCCGCCCTTTGTCTTGGTCATCCAACTTACCTTGGGTAGAGTATGCCCACCACACCCTCGTTTCCTCTGCGACAGGTTGGTCTGCGTTTATAATTGCTTGCGGATACGAACCCCCTTTGTTCTCTTCGTAGAAGTGAGAGCTTCTCATTCCATTAGTGCACGTGCATCATGGAGTGTGGTGAGATACTCGGGTAGTTCTGTCCGGCAGCGCAGCTCTCCGATCAACGACGTCTTCCAGCGGTGTCTTACCGTCCCGGTCAGAAAGTGTCGCTTTCAATACGTGACTTGCCGGAGGATCGAAAATGCTGACCGAGATGTATTGGTCCTTTTGAGATTGATTCAGTGGTCAATCGTGGCCACGAAACTCAGGTTTCCTCCTCTCAATATTCATCCGGTGTTCCACGTCTCTCTGCTCAAACCAGTTGCCTCCGGTGCTCTGAGTCCTCAGTCCTCCGACGGTACCTCTTCCTTCTCCACAGCTGATTGATGGTGAGCCGCTATATACAGTGAGGGAAATTTTTGATTGCAGGCGCAGGTGCAGGGTTGCGCAGTATCTGTTCGACTGTGTGGGGTACGGTCCGAAAGTGCATTCATGGATCCCCTACTCCTGAATTCTTGATAACATCTGTTCTGTGTGACTTCCACTCCCTCCACCCGTTGAAAAGAGGTAGGCCGCCAAGGGGCGTCCATTGACGTGGTGGTGGGGGGTGGGGCTACTATCATGTCTGTGCTCTCAGGCCTTTTTTGTTTTTCTCCTCAGTACCAGAGTACGTGTTGCTGGGCGGTTCCTCCTGCAACACACCTGTCACTTGTTGTAATCAGCAGGTTTTTGCGGCAGCTGAGGCCGCTCACTGGCGTTGGACGACTCTCTTGCACGCCTCTGTTGCTCGGATGTGTTTTTGCACCTTTGCTAATACTCTGTGGTTTGCTCGATCCGTTTTTGGGTCTTTGCCATTCTGTTCGTGTGTGGGCATTCTGCCCTTGAGTTTTTTTTTTTTTTTTGCAAGCGCTTTTTGTTTAGCCTTTTTTTGGTCTTTGTTTTTCCTTGTATTTTTGCAATTTGGATTTCTTGTAATTCTTGATTTATTTACGTTTCGTGTAATTGTACTTTTGCCATTTCTTGTATTTTCGGGGGTCAAAAATTCCTTGTCATTGGCAAGCATTTTTTTTTTAAATTCATGTTGGCTTTTCCTGGTTTTGTGTCACCAATGCTTTCTGTTTATACTTTGTCAATCCTTTGTGTTTTCCGAACATATTTTATGTACCGTCTTGAGTCTACATTTTTGGGATCCGCTTACCATTTGGTCCATTTACACATCGTAGCAGCTAGTTTATCCTTTTTTTGCAAGTGTCTTTTGTTCATCATTTTCTTGCATTTTGAAATCGCCTTTTGTTTCACTTTTTGTGCAGTCTTTATTAATAAATCACTTCATCTGAGTCTACATTTCTGGATCCCCTTTTATGGTTTAACCAAACATTATAGCTTTTGTAACATAGAGACACAGAGGCATTGCAGCGTTGAAGTGATGGGGCCCCAATCTCCTGAGCGCACCCCAGGTTCTTTCGTCTTGTGGATGAATTAAAACCGTGTGTATTCTGGTTTAAGGAAATAAATCAGCCTCGCTCGTAGCATTTACTATTTCAGCGTCAAATTTGCATGCACTGCCTGTGTTAATCACTCAAAAAGATTGTAGATTTGTAGTAAGCTTTTGACATGTACCACAGAATAAAAATGAAATGGGAAAAAAAAAACTGTTGGAGTGATTGTGCTTTTTCAAGATAAGTCACACATCAAAGCAAATAAAGTACAGTCTGATGTTAAAGATCCTCCTTGTATTATAATTAGAAATGTGCCTCCTGCAAAACTTCACTGTTTGAAATACTGTCATGCATAAGTCATGGAAGACGTCAGCTGGTGGTTGTTTTTGCATTTGCTTTGTTTCGCTTTGCTGTCTGCTGCCAGGTCGACATTGAAAATGAGAAAATGTCCTCAACTTCCTTACCTGGATAAGTAAAGGTTGAATGAAGTAAAATAAATATCGCCCAAGACCACAGTTCAGCGTGCATCCTTGGATAAACTCACATTCTGCTTTTTTTGAAACCCTTTCCAAAAATAACTAGTTCCAAAAGAGAGAGCAGCCTGCGTTAAGTGCAACACGTGAAAGGAGAAGCGTATGTCCTGAAATTGCTCACAGTTGTGAGCTAAAGTAAGTGATTGTTTTTGCGTAATAAGATGAACAGTCGTTTACTTCTTATTCCACTTACTGTATGTGACACTTATGTTTGTATGTCCTGTGTGTTGCCTTGTTTGTATCGGCTCCTTTGTCTCGATATTCCAGATTGGCTCATGTATTTCACCTTGTGTGCCATTCTGTTTTATCACCAGTTTCTTGCACCTGGTCGTCATGCTCCAGCGTTCCTCGCCGCAGACTCCAAGTTTGCTTAGACCAGGGGTGCCCATTACGTCGATCGCGATCGACCGATAGATCGCGGACTGGTCCCAAGTCGATTGCGAGGGGTGTAGAGGAGAAAAAAAAACATACAACCATTTGTGTGTCTTTGTGCATGTTAGTAATATTTTTTTTGTGTGTTAATGTACACTGCACCCTAATCATCCTATCAGTCTCAGTTTCACAAAAAGTAGTCAAAAAACAAAATAAAATAAAGCAGGCAAATCTTTAACTTACGGTGTCGCGTGACCTGCGTCACCGGAAATTGTTCGCACTCAGCAGTCTGCAATTGCAGCTTGTGAGCAGAGCTCTTGCGCTATATCTTTTGTAGTTATCATTATTGTCATTCAGAGTTTGTTTCCTGTACAATTCACTGAGGGCACGGGCAAAGAATAGCAATGTAGAGGGCTGAGGGAAGCACTTTAAAATGGTATGTGTGAGCTATGATAGTTAACAGTCTGCAAAAGTGCGTCGCATGCCTTCGTGTCAGGCTGTTGCTCATCATGGCATGCGTGTGTACGTACGTACGTGCGTATGCGCGCGTGCGCGGTAACAGGTCGATCGTGGGAGATTGGTTGATCGAAAAGTTGATCTTCGGTCCAAAATGTTTGGCCACCCCTGGCTTAGACCATGCATGTTTGATTGCGGACATTGCCTTTTTCCTTACATTTTGGATACCATTGCCTGTACTGACCGACTTATACCATACCTATCCTGTTATTGAAGATTGCGTTTTTGGAACGGTCATTTGCCTGCAATCTAGCGCCTGGGCCATATGTCTCCAACTGTTTGTGAAGAATATAAAAAAAAAAAAATGCGACATCTGCAACATTAAACACCTTTGCAGTGCACCATCACGATTCATTATTTAGGTGTGTCGCGATTTAGTATTTACTTTTCCTCAAACTCCTCTCTCACCTCTTTTTATGATACCATCTAATTATCAGTGCTCTTAAAAAAAACTACATATGCTCACCAAGAAATTGTTCAACTGAGCACTGTGACAGTGGTTAATATATCGCAGCATGTTATAGTGATGTCCTGATATTACTCAGGTGTAATCGGATGGGAGAACGTAACTGCTAACTTGTCCTGTTCGTTCTTTGATAAAGTTAAACATCAGAGACACCACTGATATTAAGGCAACTAAAACTAATAGAGGAATCCTAATAAAGCAGCGTCAGTCAGTAGTCATACCGTGAGTGTGCAGAGTTATGTGGAAGACACATATTGTATCAGTGGCAGTCAAGTATTTCGACAGGCCACTGAATACTAATGAGGTGTCATAAAAGCACCATCAGGTTCAAAACTTAAAAATGAATTCCGGACGAGACTCCAGCAAATGTCCACGTATTGAAGAGCTTTGCCACTGAGCGATGACATCCATCACGCCACCCACAACGCACAGCGGCTGTGAAACCAAAAGCCTGCCAGATTAAAGTCGTTTCTTGGAGAACTTTGCTTCGTTGCAATCTTCACACCATGAAGCTCAAAGATCATAATGAGATGAGGCAAGCTTCACGTGGGAAAGTAAAACCCGAATGCGAGATTCAGTGATTCTTTCCTCATCTTAGCTGACTCTGTTGTTAGAAATCCCTAAGGTGAGATCACCAATCGAGAGAGGGTGTTTTATCATGATTATGCATGTGTGCTGGTGGGTGCGTGTGGGTGTGAGAGAAGGAGGGAGAATGTAAGCATTGGCCCACAAGG